TACGGCAGTTGGCTTTTATAGCCGTCATTTCCGCCGGATCTCAGCGAACAGTCCGCATTCCCCCTCAGCCGCACAATTTACTTCAAAAATTTGGCGGCTAAATGAAATGCAAATTATTTTTTCCCACCCACTTTCCCCACCCGAAGCACCTGACCAAATATTCAAGACTCGCATATCGTATATTGGTGGCATTATGCTATTTGCTTTATTCTCTTAATGATCAGAAATAAACTTTTAATAAGACTCGTGATTTGCACTTCCGTTTGCGTTGACTCAACACAAAAGTGTTCACTTACACATCAGGCTAATTTTGGATGGCTGGGTGATTTATTAAATATAATTAAAACAAGAAAGGCTGAACTTTGCAAGTATATATTATATGGGTCATGTATAATACCAAAATCGAGTTTTAAAACATTTATTTAGTAGTTTATGAACATCTGCCCATGCTCAAGTTCCCTTTGTTGTGCATATGAGTACAACTGTCGAAAGCAATATGGTTGTGGCACGCACTGTCCCTATGTAGGACATGCCAATCAAAAGTCTCCAACTGTGAGTTGCGCTGCAGGACTCGTCCTGCATAAATGAAGGATCCGAAGTCGGAGTCGAAGTCAAAAGCGGAGTCATTGTCATTGCTCCGTTGGCTGGCTTGTCATTCCCACTTCCATTCCATTCCATTCTTTAACGGACTCCGGCGAATTCCCAATGCCAATTAAATGCGGCTTTCACATTGTCATCCGGCCAAGACTTTCCATATGACAATGCCAACGGCAAGCCGTAATGAGCTGGCCCGCAGGCAAGGACACCTCCCCTTGAGTGCCGAACCAGCAGGCGGTCGCTCGTCGGTCGCATGTCCTGCCAAAGTAAATTAATTGCTGGAGAGACCTTCTTGATCCTGCTCGGAACCTGCTAGCGTTTTGCTACACGTGCAACTTATGTGCAAATTAACATCATCATCAGCAAGGACTGCTCGCTGGCTTGGTGGCTCGTGTCCTCCGCCTTCGCAAAACACTTGCACTCGTCCTGCGTAGATTAATCGGACTGATTAACCACACGCAGCTAGCCAGCAGGAATACTTTGGGGGTTACTGAAACCGGAACGAGAACGGGAAGGGGAACAGGAAGAGGAACAGCGCCCTTTGACCCCTCTCGTTGTCCTGCCTATTCATTATGCAATTATTTCGAATGACTTTCGTTAGTGATATTTCCTTTGGCTTTCGTGCCGTCAGCGAAATGCATTCATCAAGCCAAACGGGAATCCATTTAGGCCAAATGGGGTTAATGCTTAGCCAGCTGAGATGGATGGGTGACGGGATTAATAAATTAGACAGGGAAAAATAACAAGGCTTTGGTAGGAGTACCAACTTGTGAATTAATATAACAAAAAATACGCTATGTGAAGTAAGCATATAAACATATCCGTACTTACTATTGATAAATACATTTTTTGTTGCGAAACATGGCCAATTAAAAGCCAATAAAAAATCAGCGCACTAGCATCTTCAAAAAGATTTAGCATCCACTTAGTCATTCGGAAATTATGATTATAGCGCCGCTGAAGAGGCCATATATAACCGCCAAGTATAATTTACAGCCATAACAATTAAGTCTTAAAAATGGTTCGCATATTTCAGCACACGACATGAAATACAGTTGGGCCAATTTACTACCGAATTTCCATGAGGAATAAAGTTGCAAATACACCGCACTTTCCAAATTCCGGTGAGAATTTCTGGCCCACGGATTGGGCAGAAAGTCACGGCCCACCACGAAATCCCTTTGGGCCAAAAATGGGCAAAGTGGCCAAGGATTTTCTTCGATCATATTTAATTGAGGCAGATAAAAGACAGATTTATTGTACGTGCCCGATTGAAAAGGTCCATTAATAAATTTCTGTACAGGCAATGTCCATTGAACTTAATTGGTCATATCTCTTGCTCGTTAAGGTCGTCAACAATTATCTTACCTTAATTTATCTGATAACAATCTGTTAATAACTGATCATTCCGTTTTATTGCTTGAGGAAGTTTGAGGTTTTTATGGTTTTTATGCTGATCAGCAGCTATGAGGCACAAAATTAAGCCAAAAATAAATAAAACTAAAACAACGAAATAAATTCTTGGGAATGAGCATACAAAGTATTGGCCCGCACGCATGAAAGCAATGACGACTTGGACATTAATACAGTGGGTTTCGTAATTTTAAGGAATTTTGATGATTTGCTTCATCAGATCATAATTATTAAAAAAATACTTAATATGACAGAGAAGTTTTTAAGAGGTCATCTGATGATAAAAAGAGCTCTTACTCTCTAAAAAATCCTGAAATAAATATTATTCAGCTAAGTTTTTAGTCTAGAAACTACCTGCTCAGTACGCAATGTCTGAAGATGTTTTGGCATAGTCAGTCACTTTTTTGCTGCTCGCCTATTTGGCAATGAACCAAAAATACGTTTTGGCCAGCAGACACTACAATAAGGCGAAAAACAACAACTGATTTGTACAGGTGCGAAAAGTCTGTGATCATTCGGAGGTGAGGCGAACTCTGGGATCGCGTCATCTCATCGAGTGCCCTTTGGTGGCGCCTGCTGTGGCCTCTCGAGATTTTCCCCAAAACGAGAGGAAGACGGTCTTATTTACGTCTTGGCCCATTTGATGTTCTACGAAATGGATATAATCCGAACGGGTTAATTTGCTCCCCTTCTTCTAATGCTTCTAATTTTTTTTCTGCTGCTCCACTCGCTTGGTCCGCTTGTTTACTTGCTTGGTAGTTCCTTTGTTGACTTTTGACTATGCCATTTTCTTGGTACACAGTACACTGAGATTGTGAGTACCAAAACTATAATTTTCCAAATATAATACTCACAATATTTTGAAAGGAAAAGGTTAATGAGTAAAGACTTGTCGAATTATTTACAGAATATAATCCTATTCGCTTTTCTTATTTTTACTTTGGTTTTACTTTTGTTTTCCCAGTTTCGCGTTGGGTTTTCCCAATGGCCAAGTTTTCTTTCGTTTTGAGTATAATAAAAATCGAAATAAAAATCAGCGGCGGACGCCTTTTGTTTTTGCAGCATGTAATTGGCCAGGGACGGCAATATAAAAATAATTTCGTCTCAATTTTCTGAAAAGAGGCAAATTTTATACATATTTTTATTCAATTAGAAAATAGGCATAAAATCATTCTTAATTGAGTCACATTTGGTTTTTTATTTAATGAGAAGAAAAATATGTCTTTCTTTTTATCATGATATTAAATTGTGCCATAAATGTAGTAAGCATAATTAAATAATGTGAATATATAGTGCATATATTAATTCATAAATATATTGTTTCACATATGCGATATTTAGAGGTATTAAGTGCGTAATTTTGGCAAAATAGTAATTGGCGTAGATAAAAGGATTGTAATGACTCGGAATTTTTCAATTCTACTATAATTATGTTCAGTTGTGCATATTTTAAATGGTGAATCCTTCAAATGGGGACCTCCCTCTATTAACTTAATTGTTCTAATTATGTCAATATTAAATATTTTCCCAGCAGAATATGTTAGATTTTTTTGAATTCACCAGGGTCTTTTAATTTTCTACTTATTCGCAATTACAAATATTAACTTGATTGAGATTGTTCAACGCACGCACCGTTTGGCCACGCCCACAGTGTGTCAAACACGCTAATTTACTGTTACATTATTTATATACACACACACATACATACATGCATACCCCCTTGCAAACATTGGCACACAATCGCAAACATACAAACCATGGCTATGTAGAAGCGATAAAACTGAAAGGTTGTCACTTTGGCAGCGTTAGGCGGTCGCTCGTGTTGGTTGGGATAGGCAATGGTGTTGGTAATTGGGTAGTAAGGGACGGCCCGGGGGGTGGCGGTGCGGGGAGCGGCGGCGCAGAGGGGAAGGCAAAGAAAAACAACCAAGAACACGGCGAATGGAACTACAGGGCGCATGAGCGATGCGTGTTGGCAACATTTGTTGCCAATGCAACATGTTGACAAGGTGGAATGTGAGTTGAGCAAGGCAGGATTTCAAAAGTCACAAAACGCCCGTTTTTAATAAGTAATTTTACAACAATATAAGTAACTAATATTGTTATTGTTGTATCTTGCTCGATTTATACATTTTTCTGATTTATACCTCATTATTAACCTTACCTTACCTTACCTTACCTTACCTTATTGTAATATTAACTGAATTAGTATAAGAAATCTTAGAAAGCCATAAAAATAGGATTTAACAGCCTAAATTTAAAGTGTTTATAAATCTGAGACAATAATTCTTGTTTTAAAATTGCATACATTTTCAGTTTTAAAATTGAATTTAAAATTTCGCACATATGTACATAGCTTTAAAACTAGTGATTATGTTACAAGAAATGCAATAAAAATGATGGAATGTAATAAAATTAGCTGTTTCAAGAGCTAACTAAATGCCAATTAATTGAATAACAAGATTAGATTTTAATTTCTAAAATATTAATGGCTTCAAGGAGTCACTCCAAATGCGATCCACAAAATTTCCCGCCAATTGCAGGCCAAGCCGAAGTATCTACAAACAAACGGTGGCACACACACTCGCATTCACACACACATACACACACCGACACACTCTCTAACAACAACCCCGAAAAGCCACAAAGCAAACAGAGGGGGTGGGGGTTGTGGGTGGGGTTTTTTATGGAGCAGGGGGCACACATCCATTCGTCTGACGTTTTGGCTCGTAAGGCGTAAAATCTGCAAAGCTCAACACTGAGACCAAAAGCCGGTTTCCCAAACCCCCAAACCCCCGAACCTCCACGCTCCCCGCACCATCCAACCAATATACCCTCCTGCCCACTGTTATTTACATTTTGTTTTGCCGGCTTTTCCACACGAAGCCGAAATCCGACAGATAGCCGAAACAAAACGAGCGGAAAATCCGAAAGATACACGAGCCTTTTGCCAGCGATTCGGGGCTGGCTTCATTTCGATTCCTATCCAACGATTCAGTTGGCAACGGCCCGCACTGTGAAACGGTCATCCATACGCCTTCAGTTCGCCAAGCAAGTTCAAGAATTCAAGAGATCTTTGTCTATGTGTTTTCTGAATATTTTCATAAATATTTGGAATCTTGGGTGCCGCGTGTGTTATTTTGAGTTATCGCGATTGCGGCTAAGTGCAATTAGTGCCACAAATTTAGTGCAATGAATTGGGAAATTTATTTCTCTGGCCAGGCGCATCATTAGCAAATGAATTTACCAAAAAGATATTCTTAGTGAGTGAGCTATCGTGTGTGTACGTTTTTGAATGGTGTTTGAGTTCCAGTTGCGCTAAGGTAATTTCTACCGAATTTCTAAAGTCCCCTAACGTCAGAATCTGAGCATATGTCAAACAAAAAAAAAAGAACAGAAAGAAATAACAGAATGTCGCGCATGTTAATTAAGACCAGGCATAAAAAAGAAATGCCAAATGGTAGTGGGGCCAATGCCAATCCATCCATCACTCAATTGCCAGTTGAGCAACGGATTTTCCCCCATAGAACTCTGTTTTTCTATTATTTTTATAGGCCGCCCGTAAGCCAAATGTGCATTAATTTTAATTTGAAAATGGAGAGAGAGTCGAGTGCACATGTGTTTCATTATTTTCGTATTCTTCCGCCAGGCGATAAATAATCAGCTGGCTGCGAGTGCGATAAATATTTATGCATGCGACTCACTTGTCTAAACAGATGCCGCAGAAATCTCAAACGAAGCGATTCCCCGGCACTTAATAAAATCTGTGGAAAATCAGAAAATCACACTATATCGTACTTTCAATCTGGGACACATCAACTTCGTTTCCGCTTTTTTTGTTTTTTTTTGTATTTTTCGAAAATGTTTGTTTATCTTGATGCAATTTGTGCAGCCACGCCTCTCAATTAAATCGCAGCCCGAAAAGTTATTCCTCTGGGAATGGGTTGGGATCCTTTGTTTTGATGTTATCAGCTGAGACTCTGTCGTTGCTGTTGCTGTTGCATGTTGGCTAACAAAATAATTGACAAAACAAATCATTTACGTGGCGAAAGTTTGTCAGCCATCCCGCATTTCTGCACCCCCTTGAACCACAGTCATCGCTTAAATTGCACACGGCGGCCAGACACGCAACATGTTTGATGACAAAAAAAAAACAAACAAAGCGGAAAAAACACGAAAATTGTGCAACATTCGGGGGCACTGAGAATTTAGCGCTGAAATATAAATAACAGCATAATAACTAGACAGGCCGGCCGGAAAATGGGATTGCGATGGTGCTAAATTAGTTTGGTTGATTTCTGGCTCCATCAAATTAAGTTTAATCCTAGCCCCATTAATTATAACAAAAAATGTAAATAGTAAGGAATTTGTATATGAAAATGTATCTTATTACTGATTTGAAGTGCTTCAATCTGTTTTGAGTCATAATAACCATTGATAATATTAATAACAATAACCAGCTGGTTGAGTAAGTTAAGTGCCATTGAAACACGGCAGTAGGAAGAGGACTATTACACAAATATTATAATAAGCAAGCACAGGGGGTGCGACTATCGCATAGAGAGACAAACAAAGCCAAAAATCGGTAATCAAACCAAAAGCAAACGCAAACCGCAAGTTAAATCATATTATGGCCCGTCAGACCGCAAAAAGGCCCGAATCCTGCGGGAAACGGATTTGGGGTTTTCCGGGGTTAATGTTTGGCTTGTGGCTCACAGTCGATTGCCTGATTTACGGCCACGCCCGCATACGAAATGCTCATTGCAATAGTCAACATGTTAACATGTTGTTAAACACACGGCGGTAAATCGCAATGGTGGGGGCTACCATTTTTACGGCCCGTTTTCGACTAGAAATCCCGAAAATCGCCACATTTATGGCTATTAGATTTTCGGTTATTGCGGCACCAACTGAATAGTGCCTTGATATGGGGGTTCCTGTAGAGTCCTGTAGTTCCTCTCCGCCTGCTGCTGTTCGGTTTATTAAAAACGAATTACTGCCGATCGAACGCCACAGAGTAGGCAATGGTTTTATGGCTATCCAATGGCTGTACGCAGCATAATAAATAGATAGATATGGTAAGATACAGTGCGTTGTCCTTGGCGATTTGCAGGTGACGATAGTTCAAACAAATTGTTGGCCATATATTTTATTGCTGCGATGGATGCTCATTCAAGTACACGCTGAGTTTGTGTATCGGTGATTGGCTTGTGAAAAGCTTTATAGCATTTTAATTGCTTAGACTTGCAATTGCCTAACAGCTCGGTCACATGTGTACAATGCCTGAAAATTATTCATCTCGATCGTGTTTATTTACCTCCGCCTAATTTATGCAAGTAGTTTAGCTCAGCTTCGAATTCCGCGTCCTTGCGCCACCGGAATTGTATTAATATGATAAAACTTTCAACAACTTCGTCGTCGTCACCTAGATTCAAGTTTTCGAAAGAGCTGCGTACAAGTGAATAATATAAACAAAAACGTTCTTATTTTATGGTACAGAAATTGTTATGGCAAGCCAAGAGACTAGTTTTCTAGTTAGAATTGTAACCATATTTCACCTGTTAATTTCTGGCAGCTGACGCATCAAAGGCCGCAGCCGTATTAACTTTTCATCTAAACAGCCAAAAACCACAAAACTATTTAACGCTTTCTGCAGTCAAAATGAAAATCAGTGTTTATTGGGGGGTTTTGTGCGAAATTCCAAGCATATTAAAGCCATCTGCCCGATGGCGATGCAACTGCAACTGCAATTCGCAGGTGTTGAGATGCCTCCTAATTTATGAGCTGTGCATAGTGGGTTAATGTAACAGCAAATGGCCCATTGCGGTTTGAGTTAAACAAGATGGCCCATAACCACTGCCACAAGGTCACCAGACTCGATGTGCAATCGAGTGGGTGGCGGATTCCGGTGGGTTGGATTTACATGCTCCATTTGGCAGCAACGAGGAAGCGGGCTTAAAGTAAAAGAGTTCAATTAGAGCTTAGGCAGCACGAACATGGGAACGAGAAACCACGAGGAATCCCAAATCGGTCGATAATTTCATTGCTCCGGCTTCCCACTTGATTAGCATTCCTTTGTGGCACAGATGTCTCGGGTTATTTATCTTAAATGGCAGGAAAAAAGAAATACATTTCCAGTTTACATTTCCTGTAAAATATTTAAGCGATTTAACTCGTTACATTTCAGGTGGTTTAGCATAAAAAATGTATTGCAATGTACTTGAACTTTTACAAGCTTATAATTGACATTATCTGCAGTAAAATAATTCAACAATTACAAAATTTCGAATTTGCTAGGTCTAAATAAAACGTTTTTTAAGAATTCCAAATGCCTTAAAATATATCAAAACTAGAATACTTTGCTAATTTATTCTTGCGTGCATAAAAAGTTGCCAACTTCAACTTTAGCTATAAAATCTTTAAATTAGCGAACAACCTAAAGAGCTCGTAATGTAATATATATTCAATAAATTAGAATGAATACATATTCATATTAGGCCTGCTTCAACTGTGCAGCTCTGCGAATTCAATGAGCTTGTGATAAACCATTGAAATATTACGCATACGCCAGGGACGCATAAATAAGTAAGCAAAACGAAATATTTTCCGATCTGATTGATGCCTTCCTACCGGAAAATCGTTTTGGCCAATGGCGTGAAATTCACTTTCGTTCGCTGTTGGCTTTTGTTGTTCTGGCCCCTTTTGATTTTGATGCCATGCACATTTGCAGGCCTTTGTTTTTGGGGCTTACGTGTTTGAATTCATGTGCCACGGGATTTTATTGATTCCAGCTTGATTCACTGCCAAGAAACAAAGACAGGGAGTTGTTAAGTGGGCAAAAGCCAAGGCGAAACACAGCGAAATAATTAGCTAGTCAGCTCGTAATGTTGGGCCATAAATCCAGAGTCTGGCATTTCGTGTCAAGGCTCATCGGCAAATCGATTGATAAATTAATCAGAATTAGTCCTTGAACGGCTATACTAAATATTTATAGGATTCGTATAAGCTGCGCCCAGGGATAATCGACAGTGAGTGGAAATTCGTTGGAAATTTTTCCATTTCAATTGTAATTTTAAATGTCTACCCATGGGTGTGAAGGAGAATGGGAGACCTTTAAAGCTTTACTGCACATCGCCTTTATATAGATATATAATTCTACTAGATCCGTATCCTCCGCCCCACAACGAAGCCACTTAAGCCAACTTTGAATGTAGCTGACAAATGAAGACTGACATTTACCAAACAATTGAGCTTCAGCTGGAAAAAGAAAATAAGGAGAGAGCTGACAAAACAGAAAAACCAAATTATTCCGCTTACAACTTGTCGCGACTGTTGAGTTTCTGAAAGCAACTTGTTGTAATAAAGCTTCAGATTTCCGCGCTCTCATTTCTTTTGTTTTTTTTTGGTGACTCTGTGCTGAACGTGAAAGATTTAAAATAAAACCACTTAGTCGCTGAGCTCCATTTGCAACAATTGCTTGAGCCTCGCGAGCCATGATAAAGTGTCCTCAGAGACATCAGTTACCAAAAAAGGGGAGGGAAATCCCCGAATTTGCGCCAAATGCATGAAATTTCGGGGGAAGAAGTATTTGAATTTAACACTTGGCGGTTTTCAGGGCGACAAATATATATGTGTAAGTGTCTTATTAAGACTAATTTGATTAACTCATTTTGTTATTAATTCACTTGTACCTTGAATTGAAACATTTTTGCTCAGTATCCGAAATTTAACTATAAACTCAACCCCTTAAGTAAATTTCCGGCCAAAGTAATTTGGTTTCTTCATACAATGCTAATAATTGCATTACTAAATCTCGGGAACCCCTTGCTCCTAATTTCCTCTTTCCATAAATTCTTAAAGTTTCCGTCATTACTTAAGCCCTTCAAGCAAGTTTTCCCAAGTCCAATGGGATGCGTAAATCCTTCGATGGAATTCACCCATGCCGGGATTCTTATAAAATTTATAAGAATTTCGCTGGCCAGTCGAGCGTATCCGCTTCAATTTAAACAATTAATGTCAATCTGCGCCGAGGGTGAATAATTTTTCTCCGCTCTAGATACGTTCTTGGCGCGGAAAATATATTTAAAAGTAAGTTCATTTGATTTCATTAGATTCGATCCCACAGAGAATTCTATCTATTTACCCAAAAATCATTATATGCGAATGTAAATATTAAGAAGACCATGACGGTGTGTGTTTTGTTTACATATATATTTCTAAAAAGCCAAAAACACAAATGGGGAAAATCTTTGAACTGTGTAGCAGAGGGAGGTGGTCAAAAATAGAGTGTAGCGAAAAATTCAGATACTTTTGAGCACTACCTGGGGCGCAACTAAGTGACAACTATTTCGGGATGCTGGCCTGTGTTTTAGTTGTGTCTTGTGTGCATTATTAACTGAAAGCTGACAGTTGGACATGTGATTGTGTTTAATTGAAAATGAAAAGCCTCACACAGAATCATACTCAAATTCAGTATGAACACACACCTGAAGTCCCACACACGTACGTTTGCTCGATTTGAATGTCAGACTGGCAAGTTTTCAGCTTTTCAGCATCGCTCGTTGTCTGGCGGAAATTTCAACGTGTTCGGGATGTCAACAGTGCCCTTATACTTTCCCCCCGATCATCATTTTCCAACCATGCAAATGTAGAAAATGCAACAAGTTGCCAGCCGGCCAACAAAATGGCGGAAACGTGTTGCTGTCGGCGTCGACTGGAAAATCGGAAAATCAAAGCTCCCCCGCTGCAGCCATGAATTATGGAATGCATATTTAAACGCAACTTTAAACTTTTTTATTGCCCGAGCAGGAGGAGCGTTCCGAGGAGGCATCCTAATTGTGCAAAACTTTCGCACACGCTTCATATCCTGGCAGCCGGTCCACGAACACGTCCCACGTCGCTGTCCATTGACTTTGGCAGCGTACAAGGATGCAGGACACACATTGTGACTTTGTTTTTAATACACTCGACTCGACTCGACTCGACTCCAGCTGCATCGATCGACGGGACAAACAAGGCCCGTCGCCTGTCTGGTCCTGCCGCAGTTCATTACTCCGCAGGACGACAATCCTGGCCCATCTCTTACACAATCAAAAATATTGAGATACTCCATCTTTATTACCGTGCTACCATGGGTCTAAATTGTGTACATTTTAGAACTAAACCCATAACCATAAAAATTTAGTTTAAAAATGTTTCTTTTTCTAATTTTAATGTTGTACATTTTTCTAACTGGTAAAGTAACAAGTGTTGAAATTTTGTTGACTGCATCCTTTCCCGGCACTCTGTTGTCCTGCGACTCCTTGCTTTTTTGTTAGCCGTCGATGCTTTACGTTGCCATGCAGGCCATGACAAAGATTATCAATAACAAGTCCGAGGAAGATGCCCACATGCGTAATCCTTGCAACGGATATTGGCTACGCCACTAGATGGCTGCGCTCCTATCACCGCAAGCCCATCGAATGTCCTGCGTGTCCTGCCTGTTGGCCATCCATATCAATTGCGTCCTCAAGCTTTTGTTTGCTCACAGCAAGTATCGCGTGGTGCTCCGCTTAAATATTCAGGATCTTTATGTGAAATTAAGTACAATTCAGTCTTGGAAAGCAGCATCTCTTAATTTAGGTAAAGGTGAAAACTATTGTTTTTTATTATTTTGATACTCGTATCTGTATTGAAGTCGTTTCTAGTTTCCAGTTTGAGTAAAATCGATTTGTCCTATATTTCTCTGTTTTTCCATGAGCAGCCAAAACCAATATCAGCATCAGCGCACAAATGAAATTTTTTTAGTTGGCAGTTTGGAAAACTCAACATTTCCGCCCATTCTCCGTCCGCCACTCGTATTCACATCATAATTTGCAATGTGTTTTCTGGCAGGAAGTTGCCGCTGAAAATATGCTGAGAAAATTGCTGGGTGGTTTGGGCGGGGATGCGATGAGGTGTTCGAGCTTGTCATATCCTGTTTTCAGAGGTTCAGGTGCAAGCATTCTCCACACCGGAAGTGTGAAATATTTTGACCTGCCCAGCGCCAAGCTCCACTGAATTTACCTTCATCTTATGTGGCATGGAATTTTTGCGCTGGAGCGTATTTTATTGGCATTTTGTACGAAATTTGTGGCCAGCAAGGAATTCTTTCGGAAATTTTCATATTACATTTTTCGGCTTTCCCGAACGGCCACGATTTCCCTGGAAATCCCTCAATTAAGCTGTAAAATCGCCATGAAAAAAAGCCGTCGATTTCACGTTGCTCGCCGTGCGTATAGCGTATAATTGATTTAGCCAAATTGTTAACCGGTTGAAAACGGACAAATTGCGCGAGCCTCTTTTGCAAAAACCTGGACCGAAAATCAGGACCAAATGGAGCTGTAAGTCCGCCGGGGAAGCTTTTAATTTCACGCATGCAGTGCATAAATTTAGCATTTTCCATTTGCATTTACATTTGGCATGGGGCATGATTATGCGACACTTGTCAATGGATTTGCAACGCACAGCAGTTGTCCACTTTGCGGCATTGGCCATTTTGCAGTTTTCCCCCTTCGATTTGGTGGGGGGATAATCAAGGAATAATTCCGTTCACATTCTAAAATGCGAACCTGTGTTTGGGGATTGAAAATTAAAGGGAATTCAAGGGGAAATCCAGCTAATTGTATTATATGCCTTTTATGAGACCATTGCAATTCTGCTTCTGTGCATAGGTGAGAAATCCATTTCGCATTGGGACAAGCACAATCATTTGCATTTTAGGAGAATTTTAGTAAAGTAACTATGCCTTTGTGTATGAAATGTTTATGTGTAAATGAAATTATGAAAATAATTGAAAATTATTTGAGATTTTGTATTGTTCTGAAACAAAGTATCCGCGTGCAAGGCACTAGGGCAATTGTATCTGAACATGCCGCACATTCCACGCCTGTCAACGGCTCCTCACTCAGCGGAGCCAAAAGTGCAAATTCTAGAGGTGCAACGGATCTAGATGCTAGCCAAATGTTGCTGCTAATTAAATTGACTTCGTTGGTCTCTCTATCCTTAAAGGCCTCTCTGTTTTGATTGCTGGCTGGCCGCGGTGTTTGTTCAAAATGTGGGTCAATTATGCGATTCGTCGCGTCACAGACAAAACCATGATGGGTGTGTGTAGGGGGGTGGGGGTGTGGGCGAAAAACATCCATCATAGGCCGTTGAAATGTGCGGGAGGATGGGCGCAATTCGCACAGCAGGTTGTCTTATGTAATTATTTGTCAAATTCTCACTGGGCAGCGGCCACATCCGCTAACGAGCCACATACACACGGTGCCCCACGGCAAAGCCATCAAAACCACCCACCCAAATCACCCACATCACCCAAACCTGCCCTTCATCATATCCGCGGGCAATCAATCAACAGCTGGCTCATTATGACAATCGAAGTATGCCATAGAAATAGAGGGAATTGATCGAAAACATGAATAAATATGATGTAGCCATTGTGACCCTTGTACGTAGGTACATATATGATTGGACTGGAACTGGCAAATTGCTTAGTCAACCGGTGCGGGGATCAGAACTTCCGGCGTGTCCGGCAATCGGAAATAATTATCTAAAATTAGTGACAAATGCGGGTGCAGATAAGATTAAAGTTGCCGGGCGTTTGGAATTTGCCGCCGTCGCCGAAAAGTATGCAGCAGTTCAGGGGTTAAACCCCATTGCATTACCATCTATAAGAAACCTTTGAATATTCCCGCATTAATTCCAAAAAATACATAAATCTGAAATGCACTTTGCGCCCAACATAATTCACTACAAATCCGACTATTTAGCTTTATACAAACGTTTATTTCGGTTGATTAATATTACACTCTTTATTGGTAAATTATGTGTTAATATAAATAAAGTTTTTTTTCTGTATTTCCGCTCTCTTTTGTTAAAAACAAAATGGCAAAGTATATGCATTTTTTTAACATAAATATCAGTGTATAAATTAACAAAGTCGAGGCTAATTGTGCATTTAGTATACATTAAATCAAGTCCAGGCAAATGCATTTAGCGGGAAGACCATTGATCAGACACACATTCACTCGTAACTCTAAATACTTCTATTTTAGATATAAATGAAAGTTTTTGTCGGCTTCTCACATTCCGCAATTGTTCAGATATTGCCCATCGGCGGGGCCTTTCCTGTGGTTTTACCCCCAACCAAGATAACAGCTATCTGGTTCTTGTTATAGTGACTGTGTTTGGGGTGCTAAAGGCCTTAAATCGTCTAGATTTATTTACAATTAATTTTATTTCATTTGTCATACGTTTCTCGGACCGAATTTATTTGGCAAACAATAATGTGCGGCTGTTTATGACATTTTATGATCTTCAACTAGCTTTTTCATCTGCGGCTCTGGTTTTCTACATCAATTAGTATAGTTAAGCTTCTAAGCCCCATACTTGCGAAAATTAAATTTTCTTTATTTTAAAGTACCTCTTCTTTTAATATTGTTTAATCGAATACATTTTTCAAGTGTCAGTTCTTATAGGTCATGAGCTGTACTGTAATCTAAATACTACAAAAAGTTAGTCACTAAAAATGCTACGAAACAATAACTCAGAACAGAAAAATTTCAACATGTAATCTGGGGCAAAGTAGAAATTGTTGTGGCAGTAAGAGAAACCCACTAAAATATATGCTAAGTGTTGAGCAATATTACATCCAATAAGTTCTACGACTTCCTCCACATTTATTTTGCCGTGTACGCACAATATCATACTTGTATGTTCATGTATATCTTTCTATCTGCGATCTGCCCCCCAGAGAACCCCGCCCCCATTCCGTGTGGCCCCCTTGCTGATAGCTGTGGTTGTTGCTGTTGTTTTTGTTGTGGCTGCTGCTCCCCCACATAAAGCTGACAATAAAAACAAAACTACGCTCACTCATTCACACACTCATGCCGTCACACTCGCCAGCCAGAGACGCACTCACACTCGCACTCACACTCGCAGGCACACTCACACTCACACTATCTGCTGTAGTTACAACAAAGATCCAACAAAGCGAATATGAATATTTTGCACACAATTTTGCCCTTTGTTCTCGTTTTTTTTAGAGTTCTTCGCTCTTTTTGTTTTTGTTTTTTTCGGGTGGGTTCAAAGTTCCTAGAGCAGGGCGCACTTGTGTCGCTTGGGCCCGCGAACCACGGGACATAGCACAGATCGTATGGCCTCGTCGAAGACCGTCTTCAGACCCTTTTGGGTGAGGGCCGAGCACTCCAGATACTTGACCGCGGCTATTTCCTTGGCCATCGCCAGTCCCTGCGGATAGGTGATCGGCGTTAGCTTCTTGTCCTTCAGCTTTTCGATGGTCTGCTTATCGTCGCGCAGATCCAGTTTGGTGCCAACCAGGATGATGGGCACACTGGGGCAGTGATGACGCACCTCCGGAAACCACTTGGCACGCACATTCTCAAACGATGCGGGATTGACCAGGGAGAAACAGATGAGGAACACATCCGTTTGCGGATAGGATAGCGGCCGCAGCCGATCGTAGTCCTCCTGACCAGCCGTATCCCAGAGGCCCAAATTGATGGGCTTGGCATCCACCATCACATTCGCCGAGTAGTTGTCGAACACCGTGGGTATGTACTCGCCCGGGAAGGCGTTGGTCGTATAGCTGATCAGCAGGCAGGTCTTACCCACCGCTCCGTCGCCCACAACCACACACTTGATGGCCTGCATGGTGCTGAATGCTCTACTGGCTGCTGGCTGCTGGTTACTGGTTACTGGTTACTGGTGATCGATGAATCCAGCAGCTTGATGGGTTTGCGCTTGGTGCAGAGGGTTTTTCTGGAGCAGCTATCAGCTGGTTCCAGTGGCTCTCAACTGGTTTTCCTTTGGTGGCAGCTGTGTACTTTTATGACTTTGGGGTAATCATTTAATTCGGTAGGTCAGCCTGTTTTTGAATATTTCGTGTATTTTTGTACTCAGCAGTTTTTTGGCAATTTTTAGTTCGACACACCAAGTTCAGTTTGTTTTTCTAATTGTATTGCCTTTGGTTTTCGCGTTGGCGTTTTGCTTTTATTGTTTTTTTTGGCGATTATACAATAATTTGCTCACGCACTAATACAAATGCTGCCCACACACACAAACACGCTCAAGCGCGTAGAGAGAGATGCGAATTTGAAGTGGAGTTTGATTTATCGCGAAAGTTGTTCAATCAATGTTCTTAATTGAAAGCAGAACCGTGACGGCGTTCTTCCTGTTCGTTCGGTATGTTATTTATGAATTAATTCGGCCCGCATATGTGGGAATTCGCTGAGGCAGGAACGGAAAAAACACGCCCAAACGCTGTGAAATCTTCGCGGCGATTGAAGAAATTTTCTGCCTCCGCTGGCAGTTGTTGTTCTTGTTTTTTGACTGTTGGTTCGCTCTCTCAACTTGTTGCTACGGCTGTCTCGCTCGCACGCGTGCGCCAGTGGCTTAAGCGAAGCACTTTGCGCATATGCGCTCTCCGACACAAAGAGCATGAGAGCGCGGCGGCCCCGTCACAGTGCGGTACCGTGAAATTAGTCAGAGTGAGTCATTATCTCGGTGACGTTCGTCGTGGCAATCCATCGCGAGCGGTGGGAGACAGAGATAGAGAGGTAGAAAGAGATAGTGCGCTAGTGAGTATCTTTACTTGACCTTGCTTTGGTCTTTTTTGTAGAGTTTTCTATATTTGTTCGTCGATTTTCCACGAATTTCCCTACCGTTGCTTGTTGTTTTGAGCCAATTTCCACGGGACTAGAGACTATCAGAGATGCGCGGTACCTAATTCAGGTACACATCGTTTGTAGCTTGTCTCGGTACAACTGCAGTGCCACACCAAAAATAAACTTGATGAAATAAACGTTGATATCGCGATATAAATATTAATTGAACAATATTTTTATTGGTGAATCAATTATGTGACCCAGATATGCGTCACAGTCTTTTGATCAAAATACTTGGAATGAAGTGTACATTTTATAATATTTAATGCCCTAGAAATCAGGCGGCCTTATATGTACATATGTCTAAATCTGGAAGTTCATTAAATTCGACTGCATGAGATTGCCCATCTAATTTTTAAACGAATTATTAAATTTTTCATGACTGACTACCAAACGCGTTATTTGCTGCCGTCGACTGTTTTAATGGACCACAAAATTGCGTGTGTCGGCAAAAAACCAAAGCACAAGGAATAACAAACAAATAACATTGGCAAACAGTGCAAAATATCGACAGTAAAAGCCGAAAAGCAAAAACAGAACCCAAACCGAATTCACCGAATCCGCCGAATCCACCGAATCCACCGCATCCGCATTCAGCCAAAAAGTGATAGCCGAAATATTTCGTGTTTGTGTTTTGGCTTCCGCCCATTTCGCCCCAGCAACCAGTCCACATGCCACGCCCATTTTCGCATTGATTTTAAAATGGAAATGTTTAAAGTGCCGCCGGCGAATATTTTCGCATTTAAGTTAATTTCTCGCACTGCTGATGGTGCTGCTGTAATTGGATAATTAAATAGGCGCCACAAAATTTGCTCGCCAGCATCCGAGCAACGAGCATGAATATGAATTTCAATAATATGCATTTTCAAAATGTTTTTAATGGAATTTATTGTAAAAAATCCGCCACAATTAAATCGCCAATGAAGTCCGCTCAAGGGGAATAAATGTTTCTGTTTCAGTTTCTGTTTGTGCGTGGGTGAATCATTCGATTCATTCGATTTCGTATTCGATTTCAAGTGGGCGGAAGGGTGGGTGTTGTTGCGAGGTTATCAGCGGTCAGGGGGTAGAAAGAAAAACAACACTATTTCGAATTAATTTTCAAATTACAGCGTAAATTAATATATTAACCAATCGGTAGCTTTTGGCCAAAACAATGGTGTTAAATTAAGTTGAAAAGCGATAAGCGCAGCAAATAACGCAGTTATCAAATTACCTTTCAGCCAAAGTTATTTACTTCAAACCATAATATTTTGCAAAAACCCAAATGAGGCATAAAGCCCGCAATAAAACGCATTCGATTGAAGTGTACCTATATATTTTCCATTCCCGTCACATTGGTCAAATATGGGGTTATCGTGGTTAAAAAGAGGCGGTCTTATGCCAGTGAAATTGGGGAGTACCCTAGGTGCTTGCCCTACACCTGGTACTTCCAATAACCTGGTGCACGCTTCCTGCTGACTGCACCCATCTTCTGCTGCCGCTTCTTTCTGTGCAACTTGGCATTCGCCTGATGCAGCCTACGATCGCTGGATCGCCGATCGTCGCAGTGCATCCTTCGCACAGCGGTTTGCCGGGCGGACAGGACATCAATGGTTAACCTTAACGCCGAGTCGCTGGACTGTCCGAACCGGGCCATCAGATAGGCCGTTTCCTCGAACAAGGACCTCTCCTGGGCACTAAGTGCGTGCCAAGCGTTGCGGGCTTCTTGCACCAGCGTCATGGCTGGTATATTCCTATCCTCGCACGCCAGGCGGTATTCTCGCAGAAAGTTGTATGGGGCACAGTGGCTGATGAACACTGGCGTTGTGGCGCCACTGCAATAGTCGTAGTCCATCACAATGATGCCAGGAATGGAGGTGAATTTTGGTCGACAGAAGCGAGATGATCAGTGAACTCAATAATTTTGCTGTGCGAGAGTGAACTATGTGCTGAACGTGCATTGTTTTTTGTTATAAAAGCTTCAACTGCTAACACGCCATATATACAAATTTTATACAAAAAAAAAAAAAAAATTGAACTAGAAATGTTTTTTTACGGCCTGATTTGCTGGATTTCACTTTTGGTTGGGACTACAGACGTGTTCACATCTACGAATCGGTGTAAAAACTGAGGATTTCGATATACAAGCGCTGCTGACACATTCAAAAAACAAATTTCTGAGTACTTGGATCTGAAAAAAACGTAGTTTGAAATGGGTTAGGCGTATTCGAACACTTTTCATTACCATAATTTAAGTTCACAATGCGCTGTTTAGACTTTCGTTTGGTGCTATAAGGCAAACATTTGCAATTGAAAAGCAGCGATTAACCGCTTTGCATTAATCAAGTAATCGTTGGCATATTCAGCACTTTATCCGCATATCCTTATTACGACGTGTCCATTGCGCAGCGGAAAACTGTGCAAATAATTAAAGCCAAAGAGCGCTACGTATGACAGCAAGTGCAACAATTATTTGATTACTGTCGCCGGGACTCTGCCAGTTCCCTGTTCAGTTCCCTTTGCCACGTAATTGGCGGAGTGATATATGCATATATATACATTTATATGAATATATATTCCACCCAGCCCAACCCACCCCTCCCCTACACGGTAATCGATCCAGGAATTTCATAGGAACAGCTTGCAGGCCATTATGCAGCGAGTTATTCATAATTGTTGTTGCTGCCCAAGTGGCAGGAAAATGCATAACAAACTGAAAAATATTCAAGCCATTTTTATTGCCACACCAGACGAACCACACACCAGCTACATACGAGTATACCCATGCATACTATATGCACATATAGGGACTGGCGATAATGAATGAATGTGCGCTAAAGAACCGCAGCCTGAACCGAAAAGAGCGAAATAAAGCAAATAGTGGAGCTTCAACTGCAAACAGGGGCTTCAATAACAATAAATTTAACACTTTAACGGTTGTGCGAGGAGCAGCCTACATATGTATATTATCCCCAAATCGCATTAAATTGTTACATTATAAGCAAACCGAATTATATTACATAGGTGTACGTTCAAATTGGGCAGCAAGCTTTTGGAGGCAGTTGTTTAAGGTGTTTTAATCAAATCAAAGATAACATACTACATTTTGCAGAACATTTACAACCATTTAGTTTTTACATTAATTTGTATTAATATTCATGAACTACATTAAGCAATTCGTTCATCTTCAGAAGTTATGTTAATTGCTTTGTTTGCAGAAAGCTTCATTCTGTTTTTCTATGATTCATTTGTTTATCCTTCTCCTAAAATGAATAAATTTAGGCATTCACTTGCTAAGTTCATTTTGGGATACTCACAGAATCCTACACCGGATATACTCTTTATCCACTTTATGTGATCGCTGACGCGGATGTGAACCGATGGATATCCAATGCTACAGTTGGAGGGCATGAGCCAAATAATACCAATGAAGGTGGGATTTTGGCCCATCGTGACCACCGCTCCACCAACGTCGCCCTCACAAACTCCTTTGAAGCCTTCTCCAGAGGTGCACATCTCATACGATTGCAATGGTGCATAGTATTTGGTGCACTCCTCGTTGGAAATGACCTCCACTTCTATGCAATGCATCCATTCGGGAATCTTACCATCTCGTTTTTCGGTTCCGTAGCCACAGACCATGGTCATATTTCCGAGGAATCGATTGTATCTTGTTCCATAAGCTGGAATGCGAACCCGGCCTATTCGATAGTCGAACTTTTGGTAGGGACACTTGACCAGGGCGATTTCGCGATTTTTATCATAGTGAAAGTAGAAGTTTTCCTTGTAGATCCTTATAATATCAAAGCCCCTATACGATCTTCTTGATGCGAGATGGACCTCAATGTATTTGTATTTCAGAACATGCTTGACTGTGAGGATCCATTGGTTCGAAATGATGGTGCCGGCTCCGTGGTACAGTGGTGATCTTAGAGTTTTGAAGAAGACGATTCCAACTAGGTATATAATTGTAAAGGTCTTGGCCCTATAGCCCCCGGATATCCTAGGACTTAACTTATATTTTTCACCGACCGAAACAGCTAGTGATAAAACTATCAATATCACAACAAGCTTCATTGCCATACTGAAACAATTTGTTACTTTACCATAGCATTGAATAATACTCGTAGTGTGCCGAATCCATTTTGCTATTCTTGTTAGTCGTAGAGTAACAGGGTATACCAGATTCGTTGAAGAGTATGTAACATTTGCATTGCCGACCCTATATATTCTTGAGCAGGATCACTAGCGGAGTCAATCTATGCATGGCTGTCTGTCGTCCTTATGTCTGTCCTTATGTCTGTCCGTATGTCTGTCCGTATGTCTGTCCGTATGTCTGTCCGTATGTCTGTCCGTATGTCTGTCCGTATGTCTGTCCGTCTTCCTGTCCGTTTGTCTGTCCATCCGTCGAGAAATAAAAAAAACTTGAAAGTCGAATTTAGACATCTAGATTCTAGGGACAGTTCCGCAAGTCGCCAAAAAAAAGGTTTTGAAATTTTTTCATTTTATTATTTTTTTTGGCAATTTCTGTCGATACGCCAAGAGAATTTTGAAATTTCTCACTAGCACTCCCACTATCTGAGTGATGGGTATCTAATAAGCAACTCGACTATAGCGTTCGCTCTTTTACTGCTTATTTTAAGGGCTGCATAATTATAGCATCTATCTTTTTTCTGAAATAAATCAAATTTGGCATTCACTTGCTATAGAGATAAAGTAACTTAGATATGGGATACTCACAGAATCCTACACCGGATATACTCTTTATCCACTTTATGTGATCGCTGACGCGGATGTGAACCGAAGGATATCCAATGCTACAGTTGGAGGGCATGAGCCATATAATACCAATGAAGGTGGGATTTTGGCCCATCGTGACCACCGCACCGCCCATGTCGCCCTCACAAACTCCTTTGAAGCCTTCTCCAGAGGTGCACATCTCATACGATTGCAATGGTTCATAGTATTTGGCGCAGTCTTCGTTGGATATGACTTCCACTTCAATGCAACGCATCCAATTGGGCAGCATAGCCTTTCGGTTTTCAGTTCCCCAGCCACAGACCAAGGTCATATTTCCGAGGAATCGGTTGTGTCTTGTTCCATAAGCTGGAATGCGAACCCGGCCCATTCGATGGTCAAACTTTTGGTAGGGACACTTGACCAGGGCAATTTCGCGCTTTTTATCATAGTGGAAGTAGAAGTTCTCTTTGTAGATCCTTAAAATGTCATAGCCCCAAAATGCTCTTCTTGATCCGAAGTGGACCTCGATGTACCTAAATACCAGCACATTCTTGACTGTGAGTATCCATTGATTCGAAATTATGGTGCCGGCTCCGAACTTGAGTGAGGATGAAGGACTTTTGGAGTAGACGATTCCAACTAGATAAAGGATTGTATAGGCCTTCGCGCGATAACCACCGCTGATCCTGGGGTTCAATATATTTTTTTCACCAACCGAAATAGTTAGTGATAAAACTAGTAATGCCACAACTAGCTTCATCGCCAAACAGTAACAATTTGTTATATTATTAACAAAGTTTTGAGAAATATTAGTGGTGTGTCGAATCCATTTTATGTTGTTGCGGCCTTTTTGTTTAATTTAATTTTACTTTCAATTTTCTTTTCCTTTTCATTTTTATATTATAATAATATAATTTGCAGCTATACACTTCTCTGTTGTAAAAATATAATACCTATACGGTAATTATTGCTATTTATTTTGATACGATCAACACGTATATTGGTATCTCAAAATTTTAAAGCGTGAATTCCTTGGCTTTTGAATTGTTTAAATACTTTGCCGATTTCCAAGCTGCACTTCATCCATTGCAAATTTAATTTATTTAATGAGCATCGCAATAAAACGCATTTACTGTCAAGTGATAAAATGGTATTGCCCGATGTTTTCTTTTTTTCCCCACCTCCGCCTCTTGGCATATTTTTCATTTATATGTGGTCCACATGTCAGTAGCATTTTCCACCCATTTCCCACCCATTTCCACACATTTCCACGGCCTGTTGACAGCAGCAGCAATTATTAACTTTTGTGCGGCTGCTGCCATGGCGCCGTGTGTTTGTTATTAATTTCTTGTTATTTATGCAAATAGTTGGCACTTAATACGCCTGTAAATATGTTTAAATATTTGTATTCATTTGGTTTTTTTTGCTCCTTTGTAAATTGTTTTGTGCATTACGATAAATTAACAGCAAACAATAAGCAACAATGCGCGAGTGGTGACACATTCTCCGCTTATCGACAATTTTGAGTACATCTCCGGAATTTTAATCTATTCAGCATGTACAAGGTATGAATTTCATGGAATGGAAGTCCCAAAAGTTGGACTCCTTCGACTCTCGTCTAGTCCGAGTTCCATAAACTCGGCAGAGTTATCGCCAGCAGACGTGAAGTCATCTCTGGGCATACGTCGATGCACTGAGAGAAATGACAAACTTTCCATATGCTTTTAATATTTTGCTGAGTAGTACCAACTATTATATTGATTTAATAAGCTAGTTATGCAGTTTGTTTGATTTTGAATCAATGGATGAGCTGTTCTAAATGTAGCCACCAACTATCCTTTTAATGTTATGTGGAAATGTTTTGTTTAGTGCACGCATATGGATGCTATGCTTTTCGGAAAGGATTCTGTTCGGCCCAACTGGGGTCACGTCTGCGGGTCCTTGCTGGCCTGGTCTGCCATGTCCTGGCCCGACTTCGTCCCGTTTGACTGCTTATGAATAAAGTTGTTTGCTGGCTTGTCAATGCACACATGGCATCATCATCATTCCTCCAACATTTCGGTCCCCCATTCGGTCCTCCCCCCTTTCAATTGGGGTTATTTGTCGCTCTATCTGCTTCAGATCGGTGGGTGTGAGTGCCCCTTTGTTGACTTTTTGGCTTTCAATGGGTCACGGCGTCTATTCATTTTTTGTGCTGCGCTATTGGGGTTGCCGTCAACAGCATCCACATCCCCCAATGGCCCCGGGCAATTTGAAATGAAAAGTTGTCTGCCATATAAACATATGTAGAGATGGAAAAAGAAAACGCAAGATGATACGAGTAGTAGGCAGTAAATAGCAACAGGCGTGGTGACGAAATGTGTCCTTTGACATTTGATCGCTCGCCACCGATAATCCTGACAGCATCGCATCGTTGGCTCTTCAACAACTCCGGCAGCTTAATGGCTTTCTGCATTATTTATGGCACGTCGAGGCCCCATCAAAACGCTTTAACACGAAATGCTGGCTAAAAAGTATCGGGGAGCGAATACTCGACCAAGGAGCCTGCGAAATGTAGTCCACAGAGTCGTTGACTTTAAGCCGCAGACAATGCGGGGCATTAGGCAGCCCGAGCCTGGCCGGATGCAGCAAAAGTAATTAAGCACTTTGTGGCAGGGTCCATCCACTAAGGTGAGAAGTTCAGTTCAGCTACATCTTCGTTTTACAGTCCTTCAAGGTTTTAGTGCCTATTTCGAACTCATGCTAACCAGTTTTAGACTGCTGTAATTGAAATGCATTTCTATTCGTTGTGTGGCCCCATGTAGAGCATTGACTATGCGACTTTTCCGAAGTGCAACTGCTGTTTGTGTGTTTCCACCACACTCAATTACAAAGTTCAGCTCATATGGCGGCTCCACGTTGGCATCCTGAAGTTTAGCCGGCGACGACTTTTACTAACTCACTTGCCACGAGGCGTCTTAATTTACTTTTGCGCTCGGGCGTCTGGAAAATAAAAGTGCAAACGGTGGCAGCCTTTGTTCTGGGCCTAAAACTGTTGGTAGGTCTCGCAAAGGGGGAGGGAAAAGGGCGTGGAAAGAGGGGATTGCGGCAATTTTCTGCACATTTTCTAGCGGTTGAACTTGGGTGGCTGACTTGCTCCGTAGTGCAGTTAATTACAATTAGGCCGAGTTAACTAACCACTTGCCGGCTCTTGAGCAGCCCTATTGCCACACTCACTAGAGCACTGCATTAAACACAGACACCTTTAATATGTCAGCTTCCCTGATTGTTGTCTTAATTAAAGTTGCGTTCATTAATATGCCGACAGCGCCGAAAAGTAGGCCACCAAAACTGTTGCATATTCAAACGTTTATTCAATATGACTTCAGCAGGAGTGTTTGTTACTACTGTTGTAGGATTTGCACAATGGCGAACAGCAGACTTCGAGGAAGCTGTTATGTCATGCACTGTGGAAAATCGTACAAGTTTTCCCATTCTTAGGGTTAAGTATACAAGGAAAATGTGTAGTGTAAGCTGTTGTTGTGAGTAGCTTGATCAAATAATATCTCATCAAATTCTTATCTTTTTATCGTCTGCAACTCAAATGAAAGGCAGTGTCTTATTTCATATCCAACCTATCTGATCTCGGCAGATCTGAGTGTTTTTCACGGTGCATTCGCCATCGGCGTTATTCCTTCATTTGCAAGGACAATGCGACACAAAAATAGAAACCGTTGAATGAGTGAATGAATGCCTGAATGGGTGAGTGAATGGATGGAAACCAGACAGAAGACTGGCAGGCAGGAATGCCATTATAATAAATAAAGAGTCTTTCACTCATAACTGGCGCACAATGCAGCCAAAGCCATGAATATCCCGACTCCATGCTACTCCTTTTCTGGTTCCCCCGTTTGATTTATGCCAAACAATGCGAAAACGCTTTTAATAAAACTGATGGGAAAAGCCGTAGATATCGATCAATGAATATTTACCAACCACAGTAATGCAGTTCCATGTCATTTTCTAAGCACCTAACTGAGTCGCAAATGTACTAAACAATTTTAATTCCACGGCTGTAGGAATATTTAATTCACTGAAACTAAATAAACTTTCGAACTCATAGATACTACTCGTCTCTTTTTTTTCTACTTTCTATTCTATTTATTAGACTCCAGTTGAAGCGCCAAAAACTTTCACAATTAACACCAACTGGCACACCCATAAATCCGCAATAAATTCTTCGGGGTGGGGATTGCATAAAAATCACATTAACAATTTGCTAGTACACGAGTATTTTATTTTTATGGCTGCATGTTTTATTTTTATTTCATGCACGTCTTTTGTACATTTTAATGCCCTTCGCCATTCACACTACCACACGTACACTATGCAAAGGAGCCACACACGCACACATTCAGCACACATGTTGCCACAATGGGTGTGGTGTGGGTGTGGTTGTTGGTGTGGGTGTGGGTGAGAGGGAGTGAGTGGGGTGGAGTGGCAGACAAGGACGCACTGCACTGTTGGCATCGAAAGCGCAATAAAAACGCTTAATTTTTCACTTTTACAGAAGCGAGCGCAGTTTCTTTGTTGTTGTCGCTTCGGCACCTCTTCTCCATTTTTTATACGTTTGCCTCCTTTTTCAAAGGAAGGATAATGGGTGTGTAAATGGGTGTGAGTGCCTGTATGAAATGGCTTTGAAAGTTATTTAATTTAATAACAAGCTCAAAACATGTTTCCACAGAAGGCAAAAGGACATCAATAAAAAGCGGATCTTTAAAAGAAAATGAAACATCAGCATTTTCTAATTGGCAGGGTGTGAACAGCTGCTCTTATAAATACAGAAAGAACCAAAAAGCATATTTATTCAACTTATACAGTTTATATAAAAGGAAAGCATGAAAAAGTATTTTTAAGTGAAAAGCCATTTTTGCATTTTAATTGCCTGGCATTAAGTTAAAAATTCCCCAAAATCAACACGATAACGTGAAACCCATACCCACATAAATAAATGAAACAAAAACACGTCCATTGATACTTTTTAAGCCCATCGACAAACAAAAACGGATGTGATTTTTATTTATTGTTCACTGCGTTTGTCTTTTATTTTACAGATTTTCCAACGACACCGGACAATCTGCGGCCGCTCACAGATTTGGATTCGTTAAAAGTGAAAAATCCGCCGGGAGAGTTTGAGGGGAAAACAATCCGACTGCAAATGCAATAAGCCGTCAACAAAAGCCCCGTCTTAGCCACAAAAAAAAGGAAAAACGCAGCATCAAAAACGGGGACAACAGCAGGGATTTCGCCAGGATTGCGTACTTGTTCTTTGAACACAGGTGCGCCGCGGCTGCGCCCGTGCCCGTGTCCTTGGCAGGATCTGTGACGTTGCCAGTAGCCACCATGAAGCTGTCCAAGCTGTCCAACCAGACCAACTCGCAGGATCCGCAGGCGGTCAACTCGCGCATCTTTGTGGGCAATCTGAATACCTTTCAGTGCTCCAAAACGGACGTGGAGCGCATGTTTCAGATCTATGGCCGCCTCGCGGGTAAGTCCTTGTCATCCAGCCACCAGCTTCATACCCACTAAATCTGGATTCCCCAAAACATCCTGCAGGCATATCCATGCATAAGGGCTATGCCTTTGTGCAGTTCACCAATCCATTCGATGCTCGGAACGCCTGCCACGGCGAGGATGGCAAGACGGTCCTCAGCCAGACATTAGGTAAGGATTTGGGTCTTTTACAGTGCGTTTGTTAAATGTCCTTCAGACATCTCCTTATTATAAGTTTATTTAATTATTTGACAAGCGAAGAAACTCTCGTTTGTTTTGCTTATTTGTCAAATCATACTTTAAAAAGTTAGGGGTGCTTCATGTAGCCGTCGCTAGATGGAGCGCATGTGCAATCTTCCTTTACTATCTCCCTAATAACGGGTATATGATAGTCTGGCCGATATCTCTTGCTCACCTTTAAAGTGCATAAAAGCTGTCTTAAATCTGCGCAACTGCTGCGTCCCACAAAATCGCCGCTAACGAAGGCTGCTTTGCATAGACATTTAGGACCTTAACCCTCGTCCTCGGCTGGCCAAAGTTGCATGTTCGTAGGATATCGCCAGTTATGTGGCTCTCAAAGGAGTTTGGGGCATTCGTCAGGTTAATGGCCGCCGGCAGCGGAAGCGTTGCACTAAAATCGAACAAACGCGCGAAAAAAGCCACAAAAGGGCCTGGAGGGGCACAGGATGGCTTGTCCTGGCTTAGGGCTTGCAACGAACACATAGCAGGCAATGGTAATGAAGGAGCCGTCGACGATCCTGGCATGTGTAGTGGCCATATCTCCAGGCACCCTCCGCAACTAATGTCTGAGTATTTCGACGGGCGGAAGTCGCTGCCGGCCGCAAAAACTTAAAGTGCGGCCGACATAAATCTTGGCACGATACTTTTAATGAAATTTCAATGTTGTGCCAGACAGTCGACTGTCTTTTGTATCTGCCGTTCTGTTTTCCCTGACTATCCGACTATGCGACTATGCGACTATCTGACTGTCTAGTCGTTCAGCGTTTAATGAAATAATTCAACGCCAGTTGCAGCTGCCATGTTGACGGTTCTGTGAATCTCTTTGCTGTGCTTTTTTTCCACTTTTTTATTTCATTTCTGCAGTGCGTGTCTCGTGTGGAGAACAAGTTAATGCACTTAGTGCTCTGTGTCGGTTGATGATGCTTTTGCTTCTGCTTCTGCTTCTGGCGGCAACACGGCGGATGCTTCATATTCATACGCCCCGTTCGCCGCGCAAACAAAGCGAAACTGCCAGACTCTCAGGGAAAATACTCTGCCGCTTATGCAAATGCAAATGGGAATCGCTAAATGTGGAATGCTAATTCCACTGATTAGGAAAAGAAGAACCGACTACGAAGTGGCCGGCATAATATTTCATTGCTACGCGCCATTGACTTTGAGGCGCTAGAAAACGCGGCCAGGCCCACTAAAGCGATTTTCACTGGGGTAACAGCGTGGATGGCTGGCTGCAACTTGTGCAAATCCTTCTTACGCTTTTATCCTTAATCTTAATTATAGCCTGCCAGCCCAGCAGTCGGACAGTCGGACAGTGAGGCGGTAAAAGGAAAACACAAATAACAAGAAAGCTGAGTAGGAAATGGAGCAGCTGAAAAAACGAAGGTCTCAAAGCATTCACGCCCGCTTTTCTTGCAGTTTTTTTTGTTTTGTAAGCCAAACCCACCAATTTGTAGATAGCCATGGGTTCCTCTGAATTTTACCAGCTCCAGCTCTCTTTTCCAAAGGATTGGAGGCGCAGCCGTCGCACTTCAAACTTTGTCATGAATTATGATGAACGAGCGTGGGCTGCGAAATCCTGGCTCTTTTCGAAAAGCCACCACAGCCACCCTTTTCATAAAAAAATCAGATGCGGTTAGGGCTTATAAAGCTATTTGAATACACTGAGGGAATTGAAAAGCCTACCTAAATAGCGTTTAAAAATACCAGAGAAATGTAATATTATGTCAAACTGTGTGAAAAATATCTTCAAAATTGCAGAAAAGTGGATTGGCGTTTATATTTTGAAGAGCATTTCGCCTTCGACTACACATAGTTTCCTTTTTTTGCATTAACCATAACTGACAATGTGCTTTCCGGCTGTGGCGCACTTTTATTAAGATTAATGATTGGGGTGCAGCCAGATTGAATTAACCGAGAAACGCAGTTGGTCAATGGAAATGCATGCACATAGAAAGGAAAACAAAACCATTTTAATCACTCACATTTTGTCTATTCATTTGCATAATGAAAGGAGTAGGGTTATAAAGGACTGCCTTTGTGTGCCCAAAACAATGACTTCAAAGAACCCAGCATTTTTGTGTACTTATATTTCGTTGTAGAATACAGATTGCCTTTTGTCATTAAGCATTTTCCCATTTCAAATCCCATTTCCAGATGTCAACATGGTGGCCGAACCGAAAGCGCATCAGATCGGAAGGAAAAGGCAGAATGTGAGCAAGACCGGAAACGATTGGTGAGTTTGGAGCTGTGTTACCAAGGACGCCCATTGGGCTCTAGCCTCATTTCAATTTAATCTAAAAGTTAATTTTGCTCAATTTAACGCCGCCATGTGGCATTCGCTTGAACTGTATTTACATATCATTTAACGGCTGGGTTTTTTTTTGGGGGGTTGCTCGCCCAACAAATAAATAAATAAATAAGAAACCATTCATCAGGCGGTGGGGTCGCCCATTGTTTCAACTTCCCCGTCGCCGGCATAAAATATTTGGCTGTCAACGGCTAGCCGGGCTTTTTGCGCCCAACCGGAACCAGGACACTTCAGGCCAAGTTCTCGTCTCCATTTCACTGCTCACTTTCTTTGCTGTGTGAGGGTCAGTTGCCATACATAGCCATGCGTATGTGTGTGCGGGTATCCTGTGGATCCTGTGAGTGACAGTTGCAATGTATGCCATAATGTCCTGGCGCTGACATGTGCACTTGTTTGTCTTTGTCGTGGCGCGGCCTTAATGATGACTGAGCGACATTCACAATTTATTTGGGCCTGGTGCCCCAGAGCTGCCTTCCACTCGTGTGGAAATATTTAATTTAAGCTTAATGACGCCGAAACGAAATGCCGAATGCGTTGGCTCGACGGCTTTAAAAAGGCAGCGACGTGAATGACAACGGGGCAGCTTGGTGGGGGGTGGGGGGTGGGGAAACCCAACTGACATCGACTTGATTGTAATTAAAACGCAAACATGTCGATGTCCCCCTCCGTCGAAAGCCCATAGCTATGTCCAGGTGCTCTTGTGCTCTTGTGTTTGTCATTAAACGGCTGCTCACCTGGTTTGCCTCCTCTGACCGCACACAAACTGACCGAAAAAGCCACAATTGTTGCACTCCACCACCCACACCCGCAGCCACCACCACCACCGCCCCACTCAGTTGACCACAATTGGTTGGCTTCGCCAGGAAGAAGGGGCGTTTCGTCCTGGCTCGGCATTTGTATCAATCACTGGCAACATGACCCAACGGGAGACCTCGGCACACAAACACAATTGCCAAATGACAATTCAAACGGCGGCAATGGCAGCCTAAACAAATATTGACGGACTGATGGGTTGAGGAAGTGACTGACTGACATTGAGGTTGGGCAACAGTTGGCAGCTTGTTCATTAGCAGTTAATGAGAGGGAATTCACATTTATCGTTGCGTTTGGCAAGGCAGGAAAGTTGGTTTTATTATTGGGAAATTACTGCACATCAGGTAATTGAAATTACTTATAAGTTAATACGAATTAAGTTTTTTATGTGAGGTATTAAAATTAGCAGGGTACTGACTATTCGTCGTTGTAGCTACAGCACAACTATCTATTCGCTACTCATTTCTGAATAGCATACTTTTTGGGGTTGACGTTGCGACACTTCAATTAGCGGACAAATATTTGTTGAGCGGATTACGACTTGTAAATGGCCACTAGTTTACTTAATGCACTGATAAAAAAAGTTACTTTAGCGCACACACCCTAATATTTTGATAAGCATTGAAATTATATTGATAAATAAATATTATATATTTATTTTTATTTTTTAAATATATTTTAATAACTTTGCCTTTTTACAACCTAAGAAAATTCCGGGGTATTCAATTCTACCCCATTAAATTTTTATTATTTTTCATTAATCCCCAAAATTAATATTTTAAATAAACTACCTCTTGAAATTATTCAATTAATACTTTATTCTTGTATTATTACCACTTCTATTATTTTTTTAAACATGGTTCACCCATTAGTTTTAGGATTAACCCTATTAAGTCAAAAATTTTTTTGAAAATAATTAATTTATTTAACTTAATAGTACATAACCATAATCTAAATAAAATGTAACCTTTCTCTCCGTGCAGGGACTACTTCTATGACAGCTACTGCTCCTCGGCGCTGCTGCGAGGCGGCGGGGGTGCGGGCGGGGGCGGTTCGAACGGAGTGCGGGCCAAGAAGCGGAAGCGTCTGATGACCAACGGCGGCGGTCTGGCGGTGGCCGTGCAACAGCAGCAACAGCAGCAGCACGGCCAGCATCATCACAGTGCGGCCGCAGTGGCCGCTGCTGCGGCAGCCGCCGTCCATCAGCATCAGCAACAGCAGCAGGTGCAGCAGCAGCAGCAGCAGCACCATCAGCAGCAGCAGCAACAGCAGCACCAGCAGCAGGTTGCTGCCGTTGCGATGGCGGCCATGGCCAATTTGTTGCCGCAGCAGCAGTTGCTGCTGCATCAGCAGAATCTGCTCTCGAATGCGGCAGTGGCCACAACGGTAACGGCGGCACCGGGTTCCATTCACTGGTCGCAATACAAACAGGAGCAGCAGCACCATCCACATGCCCACCACCCGCACCACCAGCAGCCGTTCGGATTCCAGCTGAAGAGCAGCGTGGCTGTCCAGGCGACGACATCGCCGCAAAATGCAAAGTCTGCAATAATTGCTAATCAAACGGCGCTGGGCGAGCCGTATCCGGTTGGAGCAGCCGCCTTTGCCGCCCACCAGCATCAGCAGCAGCATCCGCAGCAGCAGCAGCATCAGCAACATCAGCAACATCAGCAACCGTTGCTGCAGCCGTTGACTCTGGCATTGTCCCCACAGCAACCGCAGCCTCATCAGGCGGCAACGCCACTACAATTGCACAGCCAATTGATGCAGCAACATCAACAGCAGCAGCAGCAGCAACAGCAGCAACAGCAGCAACTACAGCAGCAGCAGCACAACCAGCAGCAGCAACATGCTCTGGAGCAATTAAGTTTGCATCAGCAATGGGGACCATTCAAAGTATACAGTGAGTATTGACTCCACTTTGCTCAAGTTTGAGGAGGGATAAAGCCGGAAAAGTATATTTTAATTATTGTCTGTGGTTTCGTCTTGGCAGTTGGCTTTTATAAGTTAGTAAAATAGCGGTTAAGACATGAGAGTAGGTATCTACAAGATAATTACTTGTAGGATTTAAATACATCCCAGTTTGATTTGCGTCTAGTTGTCCTGGCTTAATGGGTCAAAAATGCTGACGCCTGACGACAGAGTCTCTGAAAAGGGGAAATGACTCACGTTGCCCTTCTTTTGGCCATTGCAAGCGTATTCAGTGTCGTTCAGGGTCAAGAGGTTATGCCGATGCCCGTGGCGGAAGCCCCAACATCGCAGCCACTGCCCGCGGATTACGTGAAGGGCATACTCAGCCTGAAGAGCAGTCTGCTGTCCAGCAAGCCGGCCCTGGGTTACTCCAGTCAGCAGGGGAATAGCGCGGATCCCGTATCCGGAATCAGGCCAGGCATGCGGTACACACAGCAGTTGGACGTACAGCAGCCGCAGAGCCAGCCGTTGCAGGAGATTCAGGTTGAGCACGTTGCCAGTCTGAGGCCATCCGCGCTAGCTCAAAGCAATCTTCTTCCCTCCCAGATGCCGTCGGCCAAGTTGAATCGATATAACCAGGAGTTCCCCGCCTTTCACCTGTTCCAGCCGCCGTTCGTGCCAATGCCGAAGAAGCAGGAGAGACAGGAGTCACTGGATCCGCCGCCCACTGCCGAGCAGCTCGAGTTGCTGCAACAGTTGTCAGAGTTCTTTGGCCAGCGGCAACAGTTGCAACAGGTGCGACCGCAGTTGGCCATGAACAGCGCTCAAGTGGATCAAAGTGAGGGAAAGGGCGAGGGCACTGATACTTGTGACACCACGCAGAAGCCCAATGAAAGTGAGGAGGAGGATTCGATATCCGTTGATGTGAAGAACGAAGAGCAGGCAACTACTACCACCACCACAACCAGTGCGAAGCCATTCGTGCCTCCAAAAACGAAGCCCACCAAGCCATCTAACGTCAAGTCCACCACCCAAAAACATTTGACAACGCGTGATACCAAAAGCACTACCAGGAAACTGCCCTGCTGCACCAAGCCAATGAATAAGGGCGTTGCATCCCCTCCGAATGTTAATGTGCAAAATGCGTATTCCGAGCAGCCGAAGTCCTTGCAACAGCAGCCTCGCAGTGGCAGACACGCCATTCAGCCTGATTTGCGCATAAACGCTATTACCAACTTACTGAGATATCGCAGAAAAAGAGCTCAGGGTGCAGCGCCATATCCGAAACCCTTTTCCTCACAAACGGATCCTGGATTGCAGTTGCAGAGCCGATCGAAACGAAAAAAAGATAAGATCCTGGACAAAAATCAACTGCTGCAGGCTGAACTAAAGATCTGGCCCATCAACATAAAGGCGAATTTTGTGGAGCAAATACACTAAGCTCACAATATTTATATATTTTTTAAGCAATGTTCAAATAAAGATAAAATGAATTAAAGATAATAAGGAATTCGAACAGCTAGCCTTATAGAAATATTTTAAATTTTAATTTCTAAGAAGTTAGCAAATATATTGGTAGCAGAGACTTTTAAGCTACAGTTTTCCACAGTTTTCACTTACGCGCAACATGTTTCTAAGACCTATCCTTTGCATATTTACAGGCAATCCGGATACATTAATCTGCGGCAACTGCCGGGAATCCTTCGGCGAGCTGTCTGAGTTATTGGACCACAAGAAAAGTTATTGCAAGCTGAGGTTCACATGCAAGTGCCAGGATGTTGCCTTTGCGGCAAGTGCAAGTAAGTGGGCGAAACGGGGCTCCTTGTGGGGGGACAGGGACTGTGGCAGCCTGTCTGTGGGCAATTAATTTATGATTGTTAAACACTTTTTGCCCTTGCCCCGGCCAAGAGTGTTTGTCTAAGTCGTAGGCGCTCCACTGTTTGCCAGTCAGCAACATCTGCTGGCCGGGCAGCAGGATGCACGAGTATGTATGTGGATGCATGTCCTGCGGCTGCTGGCAAATGCATTTAAAATTGAGTTATTTATGCGCCAGAGCCTCCGATGTCTGTCCTTCTGCAAATTCCAACTTAAATAACTAATTAATTCTCGCATGTTTCGCCCCTTGCTCATACAGAGACTCCGCCGACGAGCGCCAAATTGCTGTGCGCCGTTTGCAAGGATGCGTTCGTCAATCCTTGGGATTTGATGGTCCACGCACAGGCCGCCCACATGGTTAACATTTACGAGTTGGGCGATGATGAGGGCAGCAGCAGCAGCAGCAGCAACAGCAACAGCAACACCACCACCGCCAGCAGCAACAATGTTGCAAATGCAGCAGCCGTGGAGAACGGACATGCCATCGCCGATGAGGCTGCCACAAAGCAGCAGATGCCGCAGATGCCACAGATGCCAGATGCCTCATCAACACTTAACAAGGAGCCCAATAACAATAATAAAATTAGCAACAACAACATGAGCAGTGAGGCCATCAATGGCCACATGTCGCCCACGGGAACGGCCATCATAATGGCATCCGGATCAGTGGCTGAGAATGGAATGGCCAGCGACATGGAGTCCAACTGTCTGGACATAAAGTTCAGTCTAAGCGCCAGTCCCAAGGAGGCGGGCGACATGATTGCCGCGGCAGCAGACAGTGGTGCCCATACAGCCATGATTCCATTACAGGATCAGCACAGGGATGATCTCTCCCTGGATGGACGCATGTCGAGCAGCTCCCAGCAGACCCATCACTCCGACGAACTGAACGTCAAGTTGCTGAGTGGCTCCGTCTCCTCGAGGGGCAGTTCGCCCGGACTGGAGGCGGATGAGCCGCCGGCCACGAGGGCTTGTATTGTCCGCACCTTAAGCATTGTGAGTATGGATGATCCTTGGCTAACTGCTGGCACAGTCACTTCATAAAGCTACTCAATGTAGTATCCTCTTATGCAGTCCAAAAACTGATTGTTTTCCACTTCTCTTCTTTTCTTTTCAACTTTATTTCCAGGAAACTGCCGGGTCACCCACAGCTCCAACTGCCAATACTTTGAGCCTGATGTCGAACAGTTTAGGCCTGGCTCTCGCACCGCAATAGGTCAAAGGACGTGGGCAGGGTCAACAGCTTCAGCGCGGTGTTTCTTGCGCCATCGTAGTGCGATACAAGTGCAATTTCTTCAGTATTTTTAACAGACTAACCTTGGGGGAAGCTAATGAGTCCGAAGGAAAGAAGATCGAATAACGTAAATTACAGCAAACATATCATTTTTAATTAGCCATAGATATGAAATACGTGCAGCTATATATAGTGTATTGTGTACTATATCAATTAAAGCCATGTGTACGTTTATATGTAATGTACTTGTATTCGTAACTGTAATTGTAATTGTAATTGTAATGGTAATTGTAATGGTAATTGTAACTGTAAAACGCCTTTGTGTTTGTGTTGTTTGCATGTCCTTTGGGTTTATCGTTTCAAACGGAAGAGTATTTATTTGGGTTTCAAAACTGCATAAGTGAACGTATAGGTAAAATTATGGAAAGCTTAAACTGTCATCGCCCGTCGGCGGTGCAAATTGAATGGTAATCGAGCTTTGTACATATGGATATATGGAATAATACGGATACAAATTACGGAATTATAAGATCATTGTTATTAACCGGACAATCGTCTGGTGCCGGCTTTAACCGATGCTTATATTTTGGATATCATTTACGGATTAATAATAACTTAGTCCTTAGCCCACGCAAATTGTATATCAAAAGTAGCATAGTGACAACAGGTGTTTCAAAAACAAATTCGGAGTAACTTGCTATACATTATCTAGAATCATAATCAAATATGCGAAATATTATTAGCGACTATATTCTGTAAAACCTATATCAAAAGTAGCGGCTATGTAAATAGGTTAAACAACGTATTATGTACTTACCAAACCAATTTGTAAACAGTAACAACATTCAATTCAATGTCCTCCAGCTAAAGCATATAAACCAACAAACGAAATGTATTATGCTAAATGAGAATACCAAATATATATATATATACAGATACAAAATGCATTGCGACTTTCAATGGTTTGTTGGGAAAATGATAGCTAAACTAAAGTGATTCGCCTAAATCAAGCTGAAATTTTTCCCTGTTGAAACTTGCGAGACGCATCAGAAATTCTATTTCGCAGCTCATTAAAATAAATGATGGCCAGACTTCGCCAGACAGAAGCGAGAAGTGTGTAAATGTTTACGGCTGGCAAAAGGAACAGCTAACAGGTAGCAAGGACAATGCCAACATTGTTGAAGGCACAGCCTCGCAATAATGAAAGCCCCCAACAAAGGAGCCCCATTTGCCCTTTTGCTGGCGCCATTTCCCAGGACCTCCGAAAAATTTAGACACAATGCCCCAAATGCAGTTCACTTTATTAAAATGCGCCACCAAAATGGTCGCATCGTGTTGCGCCGTGTTGCCTGTCGTGGTCCCCTCTTTGTTGTGTCCTTGCCGCTGGCCATTGCATTTCTTTCCTCTGCTCTTTTCAAGGGGTATTTACATTTGAACACACATTTGGGGAATTTTTTTTAAATTTTTCAAGCAAAAAAATATATATAATACATAATGTTATTCAAAATTGCATTTCTTTCCTCTACTCTGTTCAAGGGGTATTTACATTTTAACACACATTTGGGGATTTTTTTTTTCAATTTTTCAAGGCAAAAATATATATTGTTTTTAAAGAAAAGATTGATGGATTGAAGTAACATTTTCAAATATTTTGATTATTTAACATAAGTTGCTTAGTCTGTGCTCACTCTACTTAAGTTCGAGAGTCGGAAAATTTGGCAAATAAATAACAGCTCAATAACTTTCCCACGTAGAGAGAGCATTTGCCAGTCGTCGTTCAGTATTTGCCGCACTGCCATTGTTTAGCCGTGTTTAACCTGAGGATTTGGGCGACATTGTCGGCGTCTGCAGCCGTTTGGCGTTTTGTTTCGAGGTCGAGTTAAGCGCCTGCAGTCAAGTGGCGTCGAGCGCAGGCCGGGATTTAAAATGCATAAGCCCGCGTCGGTGGCCGGAAAGTAGCCGTTTTCAATTTGGCCATGGCCGTGCGGCTGCACCTGTCGCGGTGGAGAGTTGCAGTCGAGGATGTGGCACCGGTGACCCGGGGCCTGGTGAGCTTCAAGTGCGCACTGGCTAATTAGAATGCCTCGCCTAGTGCAGGCTCAAAGGTAACATTTAGCCGGGCATTGGGTCACAGTTGACAATTACGCTGGCTGGTTTCCTGGGCTTCCTTTAGCTCCCGCTGGGGATTCCGGTGCTGGGGATTCCAGGGCGAGCTTGCAAATTACGCCAGCTTAGCGACATGAAGTAATTGAAACGCCACCAAAAACGCCACCTTCCCACGCCGCGAATTCGTGGAAAACTATGCGTGCCGCTTTCGCGATCCGCCGGGACTGTCGACCGGTTCCACCGTTACCGGACGGCAGCCGCACCCTGCAGCCGGACAGAGGGTATATAAAAGCCGGAGCCTTGCGTGCGCACCGCTGACTTAGTCAACGCATCTCCAGCACGACGGACCGGATGTCGACGGACAGCACACAACCCCATACGCCCAGCCATGAGGTGGCGGTCCGTCCGCTGCCCAGTGCCGCCAACCAGTGGAAACGGGCGGCACTGATGGCCCGGGTGGCGCCGGAGTTCAGGGAAACCGTATCCGATGACAGCGAGGACGAGGTGGACACCAAGAAGCAGATCAAGTACGGCAGCGGCTTCCAGGCGGCGAAGGCCATCATTCACGAGTACTGCGACTATACGACCATCCATGGCATCCGGTATCTGGGCGAGAAGAAGCGGCCACTGCTGGAGCGACTGTTCTGGATCAGTGTGCTTGTGCTGTCGGTTTTCACCTGCGTCAAGCTGACCCTTAATATCTGGGACAAGTGGAACAACAATCCGGTGATTGTCAGTTTTGCCGAGAAATCCACTCCGGTGTGGCAAATCCCATTTCCCGCGGTCACAGTTTGTCCGGAGACAAAAACCCGGCGCGATGTATTCAATTTCACGGATGCGTATCACCAAGTGCGCGACTTTCAGACTAATGTCAGCGGCATAGTAGACCTTACCGATAAGCAGTAAGTACTTGCTTTTCACACCTAAAAAACCGCCGTTTACCATGATAATTTTGTTAATAGAAAGGGAATATATGGCGCTGTGTCGCAGGTTTGCGAGCCACACTTGCACGATATAACACTGGGTAACAAAACCAGGAGGGGCATGGAAATCATTGACGCCCTGACCGAAGTGTCGCCCCATTTCGATGACACCTATCTGAACTGCAAGTGGCGTAACTCCCCGGTCAAGTGCAGTGATATTTTCCACAAGTTTGTGACGGAGGATGGCGTTTGCTACAGCTTTAACTCACTCAGTCCAGCGGAGATTTTCCGCGCGGAAGGGTGAGTTTGTTAGAAAATCAAATTCTTCCGACACAAAAGTTCTCTTGCAGTATTATTCCCGACTTCATCTTCCGCGAGGAAAATCGACTTTCCATGGATTGGAATGTGGAGGATGGCTACAGCGCCAGTGCGGATACTTCGCCCTATCCAAACCGAGTTTTGGGCCCAGGAGCCCGAGCTGGCTTATATCTGTTCATGGGCGGTGCGGAGATTGATTTCGATGACATGTGTCGTGGTCCAGTTCAGGGCTTCAAGGTAAGATCTGTTATGTTTGCTATGGTCATTTGAAGAGAGTCCTTCTAGATATTACTACACACACCTGGAGATGTGGCCCAAGTGTCCAAGCAGTACTTCCGCATACCGTTCGACCAGGAAGTGCTCATATCCATTCGCCCCAAGATCATCACCACTTCGGATGGTCTGAAGCACTACGAACCCAACCGTCGACAGTGCTATTTCCAGAAGGAAAGGGACTTGCGCTACTTTAATATCTACTCGCAGAGTAATTGCGAATTGGAGTGCCTGGCCAACTTCACGTTGACCAAATGTGGCTGTGTTAAGTTCAACATGCCACGTAAGTTCTATACCTGGTGTGCCCATTGCCCATTGGGATTTATTTAACTAGTTCTGTTTCAGGCAATGTAAATATGCCCGTTTGCGGTGACGCCAACCTGAAGTGCTATAACCAAGCCGAGGACGAGCTGCTGCTCAGGGAGTTCACCCAGGGCCTGATTAACGCTGGGGAAAATACTCGGGGTGAAACCGAGTGCAACTGCCTGCCATCGTGTACTTCTATTGCCTACGAGGCCGAGATCTCCCAGGCTGATTTCGATTACAAGACAGTGATTAATACGGATTCTCCAGAGGGCAAGGAGGAACAGGCTAAGAGGCAAGGGTAAGTCTGGCAGGAATACTTTATTCATCATCATTAATTGTTATAATAGTTATAAACAGCTTAAAAACCTGAAATGTTTTCTTTTCTTCTTGAAAAATACCTTTCGGCAGAATGAAGATGTCGCGCGTGTCCATCTTTTTCAAGGAGGCCCAGTTCCTGACCTCTCGGCGCTCGGAGCTGTATGGTACCACCGATTTTCTTGCCAACTGTGGTGGCCTACTTGGCCTCTTCATGGGCGTCTCCATGCTGAGCATAGTGGAGCTGATCTATTTCTGTACCGTGCGCCTCATCTCGAACCTGAGGATGCGCCGCAAAACCCGCAAGGAACTGCTGAAGGCGGTCAATAAGGACGCCTAATCGAAGGACCTGCTGCACGGCCCATAAATAATCCAGAACCCAGTGAATCCATCTGAACTGGAAGCCAAAGTTTAGCTGACTCTGCTGCTCTGTGTTTGTGTTGCGTTAAATGTTAAATCTGCAAACAATGAAAATAAAGTTGTACTCAGCACTAGACGGCAAGTGCAGTCATTTATCTGTTCCAATACGACCCGCATCCTGCCAAATCTGCTCTCTGCTTCTGTCTGTGTGCAAGTCTGTGTGCATTTGAAATGGAATCAATTATTTTATTGTGTGATTTGCTGCTGCCTTCGATGCGATGCGATGCGATTCGATTTCGAAAGTCAATAGACAACGTCGTCGAAGAGTCGTGGACAAAGTCAAAGGGGAGCTACGCATCTCAACTTCCAGCTCATATGTTATGCAGGGCCAATCCTTTGATTCAGCCCAGGATATCCGAGTGTATCCTGATCCCAGGAGCATGGCAGGCATGGGGTATGGGATACCTTGGCTGGGCAAACACTGAGGCAATCCCGGCACTCCTTCGTTCAAGTTGTGCGTGCGGCTCTAATGGAAATCCAATTGAATTAAGTTAATTATGTTGGCAAATATTTAAACAATAGCAGCAATTTATGCACACCCAACCCCGGCGACTTCACAGTCCTGCAGGCGCTGCAAAGTAGGCTTTAAAATGTTGCCATGCACATACACCGGCTGTCATTTTGTTTAATTCAATTGGCTGTGTGCATTATGCACGGCTCGTATAGTACATTTTCCAGCTCACTTTGCGCAACAGTTGTGCGAGCCATGAAACTGCTGCAATTTGCTGGCAGTTCATTACGGCAACAAGTGTCGAAATGTGTCGAAATATTGCAAATAAAGTTGACACATTTGCATATGCCTAATAAAATTTTCATACCCAAACACGGCGAGTGCACCGCACATTGCACACCGGGCACGAAATCGCAGTCCACATCCGTGTGTCCGCACTTTGGCACTTTCCATCTCCAGCGGCTGCTTTTTGCCATTTGTGGGCCGCTTTTCACTTGCCGTGCCTGCCAATTTGATTCACATATAAAAATGAATTTATGACAATTTCCGTCTGATGGCTGCCAAGGCTGTCTCGAGGGCTTTATTGATTCCACACAAAGCGAGGGTGGTTCGCAAAATATTGGAGTGCTTCTTACAGCATGGAATTTTACACCTGTAAGGCTCTGTGATTATCGTTAGTTAAGTATTGGAGTATCACAATTGTAATTATATTTTTTTTTCTTTTGACATCAACCAACTCTCGCTGAAAGGATGAAACGCCTATTGTATACAAGTATCTTCTTTTGGGCAGTGAGACTTTGTTGTATTGTCGTTTCAGT